GAGTGTATGGGCTAGTGGAAGAACAACAATCAGAGTCCCTGGGTGGTGACTCTGCAAACAGTTAATGTACTTAGCTATGATCTGATAGCAGCTCAAGACCATCCAGAAGTTCCTCAGAAGAAAGGTCTAGGGAGTTGTTTTTTTTGTGTGTTTGTTTGTTTGTTTTAAATCAACCATTGAAGACTCTATGAAGGAACACAGCTCTTCTCTGACACATAGAGTCACCATGAATAGAGATGATTCAATGGCAATTGGTTTCACTTTTGGTGACAACAGAGGTCATCAGTTGAACTTTCATTCTTACACCTTATATGAAACCCTTATGAGGTTGGAACACAGAGTTGAGCCTGTAAAGGCTGGCTGGTTCACCTTGCGAAGATGTGATTGAGAAGAAAATGATGTTCCAAGAGTACATATGAGACTAGGGAAGATAGAACACAACTGAGGAGTAAACGGAGTTGTTAGTAACATGACATTCTGTCCCTGTTGTAAAATCTTCAACCACCCTCTTTCCCATGCATCCTTGCTTTCCCCCCTCTACAAGGACCACATTTTCTATCCTTGAAAATTGTTTTGCTCTCCAGGACTTTTAATGACCACTTTTATCACTGCTTTTTCCTTAGCTACTCATTTGACTTTCGGCAAGACACTTAATCTCTCTGGGACATTTTTAACATCTATGAAGCAAAAACCCCAAACTCTAGAGTTTTGGGAGTCGATAGGAACTCAATCATAGTTGGGCCTGTAGTGAGTTTTTCACATAGAAGACTGGCAATCTTTCTTCTTCAGAGCTGGTGGATTCAAACTGCCTGCCTTTCGTTAGCAGTACAACTCCTTACCCACTAGACCATCAGAGCTCCCTCCTGTTCTATTATCCATTTAAATAGAAGTTCTCAATCTCTGTTATCAGAGTTCTCATTGTTGCTGAGTACCGTCACATGGAAACAGATTCATAGCTGACCCTCCAGTGGGTTGTTAGAGGCAGTAAATGACATAGGAGATTGCTCAACTTTCTCCCTCATAGTACCCAGTGGATTTTAACTTTGCATTATTTTGTTAGTACTGCAATCCCTCACCACCAACCCACCAGATTCAGTTTTCTGAGCTACTAGGGAGAATTTACCCACAATATGAATAATCATGGATTGAACTGTTCCCCAGTCACACCGCCCTCTTCCTTCCAACCCCCCAAATATGCACTAGAATCCTTGCCCTTACATCTGGGGAAGTGATTGCATTTAGGAATAGGATTTTCTTTATTATGTTATGGGGCCCTAGTGTAGGATATGTTTTAAAGGTCTTTGAGACATAAAAAAGGCAGATCAGGCACAAAGGCAGTGAACACGCATTAAGGAAGACAGAAGCCCAGTCTGGGCTTGAAATCGACCCAAGGGGTAACAGGGTTACAGAAGCTGAGACAAGACCTATCTATCCTGAGGCTAGACAGAGGAAAGACCTGTCCCTCAGCCAGTGCCCTGAATGTGGACTCCTGCTTTCCTATCCTGTCAAAAAGAAATTTCTGCTCTCGAACACCATCCTAAAGAGCTAAGCAGCACTAAGGAGCTAAGACAAGAGCTATCTCGACTTCCCTATGAAAGATTTTAATTTCACAGGTTTATGGTAAGACCTCAGCATCTGTGTACTCTTAATAAGCATCCCCAGATGGTCTGATAGACACCGAAGTTTTTTCTATGAATGGTCTATGAAAGTCTCACTGCTTTTTTTAGTTTTATTTTTCATCTAAACTCATTATTTCAATGGAGTCGAATGGATTTGTTAAAAAGAGCTAGAGGGGGGAAAATCCAAGCTGATTTAAGTGGGGATCTTCAATCAGAGAGTAATGGAGACAGGCAGAATCTAACAAAATGATAATGCCCTGAGGATGCTCAGAGATGCCCAGATCTAGGGAGAGATCCTTTTCCATTTAATGCATTATCATGACAAATTATTGAAAGTTAAGTTGACTGAACTCACTAGTATAATAAAGCATAACAAAGTATGAAATACATTTTAGAAATTGCCTTTAAAATTTAAATAGCTCATTCCTCTCAACGTGTAATGGTGAGATTAGGGTTTTTATTTAAAAAAAACAGGCTAGTTTGTGTAATAGTGTGGACATTGGTAGTTCAGTGGTAGAATGCTTGGTTTCCATGCAGGAGACCTGAGTTCAATTCCTAGACGATGTACTTCACGTGCAGTTACTGCCTGTCTGTCAATGAGGTGCATATTGCTATGATGTCAAAGAGGTTTCAGTGACATTTCAAGACTAGATAGACTACCAATAAATGTCTGGTAAATGCTCAGGTGTGAACCTTGTGGATCACAATGATCTGACCTGTAGCTGATCAAGGGGATAGTGCAGAACTGGGTAGTGTTTCTTTATCTTAGGCGTGCAGTCATCACGAGCCAGAGGCCCAGTCAAGGACAACATTGTAATATCTATGAATCTTTTAAAATATAGGCTTTGTGTACTTATGCTTTTGTGTGTATAATTAGAAATTTCTATAACATCTCCATATATTGAAGCTGTGTTGCATATTAAAGTATATTTCAAGATAATAAAAGAACAACTGACAATTCACTCATAACCAAGTACATTAAAATTGCATTGTGAATATTTCAAATGTATTTCCTGCAACCTGTGTCCTTAGAATCCCATGTATAGAGCAAAATAATTGTGAGCTGTGCCCCCTATTCTTGAGCATTTAAAGAGCCTAAACAGATTTCCCGTGAGCTTTTCTCACCCATTTGCTTATTATTTGAGACCCTTTACTTTTAATTGTCTCAGAGAAAGAGAGGACACAGGGTGCGGGGGGGGGGTGGGGGGAGCTAAGGGAATGGAAGAGAAGCTTGGGGAAGCATACCAACAAGCATACCAACTCCCAGCGGGGGGATCATTATTCCATCTAGCGGCCAATTGAATAATAAAATGTCTCCCCTTGATTTACATTCCTCATTGACCAGGAGACTAAGGAAAGCCTGCCTGAACCCTGACGTTTAGTTTATGCTGTTTGCCAAAACCCCAAACTCATTGCCATGGCAATGATTCCACCTCATAGTGACCCTATAGGACAGACTAAACCTGCCCCTTGGGGCTGCAAGCTTTATGGAAGCAGAGTGCCAGATCTTCTCCCAAAGGAAGGCAAGTGGATTTAAACCTCTGACCTTTCTGTTAGCAGTCAAGGGCTTAACTTTTGACACCACTAGGGTTCCTTCTTACCCCATATGGTTCCATAATTTGGGAAGCCTCCTTTACTTGGTTGCTGTGAAAAGCTACTTCTTGGGGGTAAATGTCGGTCCACTCTAAGAGAGGCTCTCCCTCACCCCTCCCACACTGAAGCTGTGTTGGTGCTTTTAAAGGTCAGCTTATGCATTTAAGTGTATTATGAGTGAGTGGAGTCACATCCACCCTGCACCCCTCTTCCCAAGCCCTGGCCACCAGCTACCCAAGCACCCTGGTTGCTAGGGAACGGAAAGCTCATCTTGGTGTGACTTATGTGATACACATATGTGCTATGATCCCCGTGGGTAATTAGGACAACCGAACAAATGCTAGGATGAGTTCCCAGTCCTTTCACAGGGGTATTTCTAAGAGGGTGGCAACTACTTAGTCCATTGTGCTTTGGTAGATGGCAAAGAAGCACTCCCAGCTACTGTGTTTCTCAGTACTGACCCCTGAGCTAATTAACAGCCTAGTGTGATTGTTTCAGTTTTCAGAGACCAATTAAGCAGTTGCTCCAGACAGAATGGACAACAATATGTAAATGCAAAAACAGAAGCCAGGATCTGCCAGTGGAGGGGAGAAAGCCAAGTAGGGGTGGGTGAGATCAGGGTGAGAGCTCTTTCAGCTGGCAGAACACTGGGTCTCTTTAAATTTAAAACACAGTTTGCTGTGGAAGACCCCTTCTTACTTAAGGAGGATGGAAGGCAGTCAGGCAATCAAAGCCTCTTAGCTTGCGCTGCAGAAAAGACACCTTTAACCATCGCCATCGCCATTGGCTCGCAGCAAGGCACCTGTTAAGTGTCCGTTTATACCTGGACCCCGGTTCTCAGAGGCAATTTCATACCTTCTCTTTACGTTTCAACCTAAACCGATCCTCCTCAGGTCATTTTTACCCCAGTACCGGATTCACAGAAGCACGGAACCGCATTTAACCCCTCACAGACTTACCGTTCTCTACTTGTCCCCCACATTCCCACCCCCCTTCAATGTCTCCACTCAGAGAGGGACCTTCGCTTGTCTCCGCCAAAGGCAATACATACATGCAAGAAGAGGGAGGAACGCGAAAGCAGCGGATAAACTACCTACTCAAGCCCCTCCCCGTTCACCCACGCGTCTGCTCCCGGCTCCCCTGCTCCTGCGGGGACCAGCGGGCAGGTGAGGTTACCTGGGCGCCTCGAGAAACCTCGAGAGGCGCTGCGCTCCTTCCTCTCCAAGTCGCCCCACTCCCCGCAGGCCCCCAGGACTCTGGTCCTCGCTCCCCCCGCGCGCGTTCCCTTCCCCTCAGGCACCGATGCGCAGCGACAGTGGCACAGCGTGCTTGGCTCCCCTCCGCCGACCTGGCGTGACGCAGACGGAGACTACTTAAAGGCGGATTAGAGGCGGCGGCAGCGGATTTCCGAGCCCAGCAGCCCGCTCGCGCGCTCCGCCCCGGCCTCTCCGGCGGCCGCGCGGGACTCCCGGTGCCCACCCGAGCGCCAGGCGCGGGCACTCGTGCTAGACCCCGACTCCTAGAGGAGAGCTGCGCGCGGAGACCTCCCTCCCTCGGGCCAACGAGAGTTCGCACGCTGCCAGCCCCTGCCCCGCCCCTCGCCTGGGCTTCCGTGCGATCGAGACCTGTCCCCGACTTCGTGCCGGCTCTCGGACGGTGCTGACTGCTCCATTTGTCAGACGCGCTTGGATTTCTTTCCCTGCTTCCCTTTTAAGTACATTAAGAGGGAACAGGGATTTTTTAAAAAAATTTGTTTGCTTCTTTAATTGAGGGGCAATTCGCTCCCAATCGGGAGGTGCGGCCCGGGGAGGGGCCAGGAGCGGGAACGTGCCCGGTGCTGCCCACTCTTTGTCTGCTGCCTCCGGATGCACAGCGATGGGGGAATGGACCATCTTGGAGAGGCTGCTGGAAGCCGCGGTGCAGCAGCACTCCACTATGATCGGGAGGTAAGGGCGCTGAGCCGGTCTTCAGCGGGCCCCGTCGGGCGGCCCCTGGGGGAGTCCCTTCTAGCATCCCAGATCAAGGCCTCCAGCCCCCCCAGGACCTGGAGTGTTCTCTGCACCCTCCTTAGCGCCCTTGCTACGTGAACCTGCCCGTATTCCCGGCGGCATTGAGGGATCACTCGACGCCTGTAGAGAGATGCTCCCCTCCTCCAGCTACTCCTGATCAGCTCCCTCATCCCTTCCCCATGAAGCACCACTCGGTTCACTCTTCTCTCTCATCAGAAAAAAAGAATTGCTGGCTCAGCCTTGGTCCCCCACTCTCCAGAGTCAGAGCCAATCTCCATCCGCTTCCCTAAATAGAACCTACAAGGGAGGAAAGATTGTATTTGGACGGAGAAGGGCAAATGGGGAGATGGATTTGCTCTTCTGAGCAGCTGTAGCTCTTTCCAACAAATGCTTATTATGCTGAGCTGCACTGGGCTTTTAAAACTTGCAATTTTAGGGACCCACATATCTAATTGACACACATCATATAATCATAGATATCTGCATGACATAAAGCATTACATGCAATTGTTGTTGTTGTGTACCGTCAAGTTGGAACTGACCCATAGCTGACCCTCCAGCAGGCAATTTATCGCACAAGATGAGATTGTCCATCCTTATTTTGCAAAGCAGCTGGTGAATTTGAACCACGTGCCTTTCCTTACCACTAGGCTACCAGAGCTACTCATGTGTAATAGTCCCTTACATGCAGTAATCATACTGAAAAGAAATACTATAGCTCCCTTATGTGTAATAGTCAAACTGGAAAGAAATGATACAGACACGTGGGGTAGTTAGTGTACTTACTGTCTGCAGATCTTAGAGCATGATTCTCTGTATAGTTATTCCAAGTGTTTTTGCCATAACTGCAGTAATGATGTGTTTTGTGCCTCTAGACATTCCAAGTAGGGCTCTAGGTGCTCCAGTGGTTAAAGCACTCAGCTGCTATTTGGAATCGTCTCACTCTGCAGGAAAAAGATGTAGCAGTCTGTGTCTGGAGATTTCAGTCCTGGAAACCCTTCAGGGCAGTTGTACTCTGCCCTGTATGGTGGTCACTTTAAGTCCAGATTGACTGAATGGCACTGGTTCTTTTGGGTTGTGGCATTCCATATACAGTGAAATCTATCTGATGTAAATACACTGTGTCCAGTATATGGAGGCCTTCCCCTCCCTCCCCACATACCAGCATTCAGGAAGAGGAGTGGGAAAGTGTTTGCCGGATTCAGTTCCTCACAGGGATGGTCAGTTCCCATTGAAGGGACCCTGTAAAGGCTGGAGCAGGGCAGGGAGGAGCAGGGGTTCCCTAAGCCAGTGACTCAGCCCCTGAGAACCTCTATCCCTCCCTCTTCCCCTGCTCAGGATCCTGTTGACTGTGGTGGTGATCTTCCGGATCCTCATTGTGGCCATTGTGGGGGAGACGGTGTACGATGATGAGCAGACCATGTTTGTGTGTAACACCCTGCAGCCCGGCTGTAACCAGGCCTGCTATGACCGCGCCTTCCCCATCTCCCACATCCGCTACTGGGTCTTCCAGATCATTATGGTGTGCACCCCCAGTCTCTGCTTCATCACCTACTCTGTACACCAGTCTGCCAAGCAGCGAGAACGCCGCTACTCCACTGTCTTCCTAGCCCTGGACAGAGACGGCCCTGAGTCCATGGGAGGTCCTGGAGGAACTGGGGGTGGAAGCAGTAGCGGGAGCAAGCGAGAAGACAAGAAGTTGCAGAATGCCATTGTCAATGGAGTGCTTCAAAACACGGAAAACACCAACAAAGAGACAGAGCCAGATTGTCTAGAGGTTAAGGAGCTGAACCCGCACCCATCGGGGCTCCGCACTGCCGCACGATCCAAGCTCAGGAGACAAGAGGGCATCTCCCGCTTCTACATCATCCAGGTGGTGTTCCGAAATGCCCTGGAGATTGGGTTTCTGGTGGGTCAGTACTTCCTCTATGGCTTCAGTGTCCCAGGGTTGTACGAGTGTGACCGCTACCCCTGCATCAAGGAGGTCGAGTGCTATGTGTCCCGGCCCACGGAAAAGACCGTCTTTCTAGTGTTCATGTTTGCTGTGAGCGGCATCTGTGTGGTGCTCAACTTGGCTGAACTCAACCACCTGGGATGGCGTAAGATCAAGCTGGCGGTCCGAGGGGCTCAGGCCAAGAGGAAGTCAGTCTATGAGATCCGTAACAAAGACCTGCCCCGGGTCAGTGTTCCCAACTTTGGCAGGACTCAGTCCAGTGACTCTGCCTATGTGTGAAAAGGGGTTGGATAACGAGGGGATAACAAGTATCATCACATGACTACTTGAGGATGGCTGTGGCATGCCCTCGCTTTTGTGACTCTCACCATTAAGATGTAAGAAAAGGCTGGTTGAGAGAAGACCTTGCATCAATGGGAGAGGAGAGAAAGTAGGACCATTATCGTGTTTCACACCGTGGATCCAACAGAGACAAATGGGTAGAGTGATGAGATGGACTTCTTCGGGCCTTTGTCCTTTATGGCCCAGCCTGATCCTGATGACAGTGGACTTGCACAGCTGCTGAACAGGACTTAGTTCTGCTCAGCTCTGTATCCTGGTAAATGGTGTGAGCCAAACGCTTTTTTGGGTACAAATTTGGTGACCTGTGTCAACAAATCTCTTCACCCCGGGCTGCAGGACAAGCATCCTTGAGGCATCCTTCATGTACCTCCATCCGCATGCCCCTCTTTCTCAACCCAGGATAGCATGCCGGCTTTATTTTTTTTTTTCCCTGAATCTGGCCTTACAGTATACTTAACCCAGTTTATCTGCAAAATGGAGAGAATTATCACATGAGGTTGCTGTTTTGGAGGATGGCCATGGCAGAGCTTTGCATTAGAGCCCCTTCAAAATGGCCCTCAGTCATTATGAAAACCTTAGGAATGTCTGAGTATTTCCAGTTTTCTAATTCAAACTGCACTGGTGCTGTTTATTACGGGAGGGGGTGGGAGGGAGGGAGGGGACTGCAATATGCAATTACATCACTTCTGTGCGATGGTTGTGACACTGTTAGGCATGTGGTTATGAGCTTCAGGATATTCTGCCTTCCAGCTTGTGGACTTCGGGTAATGTTAAAAGGACCTTGTCTTTTCTGTTCTCTTGTTTAGTACTGAGGGTGTCTATCTGAGCCACAGAGTTGACTGGTATATGTCACTTGCTTTCCTACAGTTCTATTGTGCAACACAGCTGCACATCATTTTGCCATGGTTTGAATTTACCTGTGTGCTCACACCAGAGACCTTAATCAGCACATGTCAGTCCTAATTTCCTGCTTTATCAGTTATTTTTTTAAAAAACACACACAGAATCACTGGCTTAAAAAAAAAGAACAATGCACCACACACACAAAAAAATAACAACAACAAACCCCAACCTGGAACTAAACACTATTGGCTAACGTGTTTACCATTTGAGATATATACCAAAGGCTCAAAAATCCATTGCTTTGGACTGTGTATATGTTTCCTTTTCTCTGCTCTTATTAATTTAAGTGCCATATTGTACCTTTCATATCCTTTGTGTATTTAGTTAAAGCATTGGCCAAGAATAACATTTGGATAATGTGTTTTTATGAAGCCCTGTTTTCTTTTCATTACCATTATAGTTTTTGTTTTAGATATGGACTTGGTGTAACACACAATGAAGATTTATTTAAAATAAAGTTCTTGCCTTTTTTTTCTTTGTAAAGTGGGAAGAGTATTCTTTTTTTTTTCTATTTTGATTGAGGTTCTCTTTTTAAAACTATTAAAAAATATGCAGCCAATATAACACTGGGTAAAAGTTGAATGAAGGATGAATAGAATTTAGCAATAAGATCTAAGCAATCACAAACAGAACAGAGATAGATACACTTTATGACAGCCTAGAAGAATGTAGTGAGATATTCAAACAGTGATATTTACTAACTTCTTTACATTTTCATTCAAATGATCTCTTGTCTAAGGGTACTTCTTATAATAGAGATGCCAGTGATGTATCAGCATAGCTCATTTCAAAAACAGAATTTTATCCTTTTCTACTGCTCTTTTCCTACTTTGACTTATGAGATTTCATGAGGTATTTGGTGCTCCCAATAATCTCTTTATGGCCTGATGTTTAAAATGATGATAACTCCGTAATCAAACAGAACATTTGGTTCAGCACAGTCCAGGAGAACTTTCTGTGATGGAAAAAATATTCTTTCTCTGTGTTGTTAAATATGGAAATGACTCTCTGTATGTGACTAGGTTGCTCTGGATGTTAGTTGTTGCATCAGTTAGTCAGTGCTGGCTTATCACAACCCTCTGTGTATAGACTAGAATTTCTTCATAAGTTTTGAGGCTGTGATCTTTGGAAAGCAGCGAGGCACACATTTGTTCCAGCACACCTCTAGATTAATTTGAAGTGACAATCTTCCAAATGATAGTTTAGTGCTTAACTATTTGTGCTACCCAGGTACCCTTTCATGACTATAAACCCTAAACTGAAAAAATATCACTACTATCAAGCCAGTTTTGATTCATGTTGTTGTTGATTGCCTTCGGTCAAGCACAACTTATAGCAACCATGTGAACAAAAGGCCTGAAACCCCTCTACAACTATAGACATTTATCAAAGTATATAGAGTTTCCGGAGGTAAGTTGTTTAGAAAGTGGATGCCACTCCTACTATATGATGGAGCAGAACCTTCCCAAGGCTGCAAATCTTTCTGACAATATTCCCACTTTTCTTCCCTACAGGACAGCCAGTAAATTTGAACTGCCCACCTTGGCGTTTGTCACTGAGTGCTTTATGACTGCCCCATCAGGGCTACTTTATGTGACTCTAACCCACTGCCTCCAAGTTGATTCTGACTCAGGGAGACCCTCCAAAGTGTTTCCAAGGCTGTATTTCTTTACAGGAGCAGACTGTTTCATCTTTCTTTCACAGAAGCATTGGTGGATTTGAATTAATACCCCAACCTGTAAGTGCAGAACTCTAAAAAGGTGATTAGTATGACTGAGGAACTGAACTTCTAATGGGGATTTTGTTTTAATGAATGATTTTAAAAGTGAAATGGCCATGTGTAATTTGCTGCTACTTCATTATACAGTCTAGTTCTAGGCTTTTAATAAAACATTTCTTACAGGGTATTTTATTTTCCTCCCCCAAGAAAAGACAGACGCTTACTTTTGGCATTACTTTTGAGCCACAACGTCTGAGGACAGTTTTTGGCAGTGTGCTGACACGTGGCTCAGGTCAGCAGTTTGAAGTCTCTTCTCAACTTGTTAATGCTACTTGCCTTGTAACTCCAGTGGACACTTGGTCTAAATGTTGTGAAGTAGCTGAGGAAATTCCTTGGTGATTAAGTCTTAAGCTCAATTGTAGCAGCTTTTAAATATGGTAGCACAGATGCTAATTTTAGAAAGAAAATACGTTTCTTTCTTTCTGTAAATGTCTCTTTTCAGTATAAATAGGCAGTGGAAGATGATCATCTTTGAGTAAAGAAATGGAGCTGCCTCTGTTTTGTGTTTGGAAAGCTAAAAATGTTTTAAGACATTACCCAGAAATGGAGGAAGAGTGTTGCTTGAGAGCTCTCAGCATATGCTCGGGTGTGAAAGAAACAGGAATCTGTGTGGAAAACAAGGGCTGTTGCATTTATGCCTTGCTGTAGGGTTAGAAAACGACAGAAATGTTTCCCGGTAGAGAAGTATTCCATGTCCTTGTGGCTGATCTATTTCAGTATTTTGATGTTTCCAAACACCCAGAAATGGCAATGTTATTAATTCACTTGTTAGTAACATAGAAAGGAACTCACCTTCCTCTTGGTATATAGAGTTATCCTTCAGAATGACAAATGTGAGTCAGCCTTTGATTCTTTTACTTTCTGTTTAACAAAAGAAAGAGACTAATGGTTTGGTGGTTCATGTAAATGTGCGAAGGACATGACCTTAGTCTTCCTTGTGAGAGGACAGCTTCTATATGAGTGAGAGCTCTGAGTTTATGAGTGTTTTGGTGAAATATAGGTCTTCTTGGTATACTGGTCGTAGTTGCGGTGGCAAGGTGGGGGATGTATTTGTGTTGTATGTGTACGCACTGGTTGGGTAGCTGGATATAGTGCGAGAACTGGCTTTAAACTTGTGGAAGCTGGAAGAACTGAAGCTACTTAGCTAAAGAAAAGAGATTCAACATTTAACAACCCTGAAGTATATTAAGGGTTGAAAAATGTGTAGGATAGCAAATACACCCTCTGAGCACAGAAGCTGGAGGGAAAGGACTGAATTTAATATCAGAGCGGCAGTGGGATGTAGGTGCAGTTAGAAAAGCACTAGAAAGAACAAGAGTGTCTTTTATGTCTACTTTTTCCAGAGCTCTTTCTTCTGTGCTTCCCATCACCTCTCTACATTGGACTTCTTCCTCTTTACTCATAAAAAGTCAGTTTCAATGTTCTCATATGCAGATACTATTCTCAACTCTCCCCTTCTGAGCCGTCGTAAAATCTTCCTGTCGCTTTGTGTCACTTGCTGCCTGATCATGAGAAGTTTCTAGTCAGTGTGTTGTCTCTTGGAGGTAGTTCCTGTGACTTACCCATATTTGACATTTGTTGCCCCTTTCATATGTGCTGCCAGAGAGGAAGAAACCTTAATCTTCTGGTGGGGAACAGTCTTAGAGAGTAAGAGTGTGTAAAAGTGGAAAATGTATTATTAAATAAGGAAGGGAAGTCCTTTATTTTACAATAAGGGAATTGAAAGATCTAAAATCAAGATGGTGAGTTGCTTTGAAAGTAAGGTAGCCATTCTTCTTGGAGAATGGAAATGTTTAGGAAATAATCAGACTGGTTTTACTTTTAAAACCTGTTGAATATTTTAAAATCTCTAAGTACTTTTATGGAATCCACAGTGGTCTAGCTTCTTTGGTGATTTGCATCTTCGAACCACTCGAAGGGAGAGATGTGACCAAGCTCCACCTGTGTAATTTACAGCTTCAGAAACCCAGAGGGGCTTGTGGGCAGCTATGAGTCCACTCCAGCTCAATGGCAATGAGTATTAGTTGAGTTGTGTGGTTGAGGGATTATATTATTTATTGTACAAGCAGAGATGCTTTTGAGAAGAAATAGGAGCTAACAGAATGGATGGGACTCTGGCGGTGCAATGGTTAAGCACTCAGCTATAACTAGCGTTTGGTGGTTTGCATCTAACCATTTGGTCTGTATGAGAAGAGATCATAAAGAGTTCGTCTAGGAAATCTATTGGGCAATTCAGTTCTATCACTGTAGGATTGCTTAGGGTCGCAATCAATTTGATGGCACA